TGCGGATGTTGGTCTCGGAATATCTTTTCCTTTGTAGAATAAGTATCTAGACACACATGAATCAAGCAGTGTTAATAAAAAATACAGATGTAACCAATATATGCAATCAAAGACAAAATTACAATCTGAATTGTACCTGATGTTTGCAAAAATTGCCTTGGAGTGACCAGAAGCACTCGCATGTATACTTTTCTCGTCTCCAATTTACAAGATACCTTCTATTTGGCTTTGATGTAGAGCCCACTAATGCGGGGCCAGCATAGCCATGAGGTCAAGTAACAGATACAGTTAGCATAGATATTGTCTTCATGATCAAAGCAATCACACGTTGATCTTTCTTCTTATTTGGAATAAAGCCAAGTAGCTTCTTTTGATCTTTGTACCAAATTCTCATTACAAAATCCCCTAGAAGACCATATACTGTATGATCCAAACGTTGCTCATGTGCATTCCTGCGCCAACCATAAAGGAAATCCTTCATGTGTCCATGCATTGATTCTATAGCGTTGTTGTTATCTTGATTCTTACGACATGTCTTCCTCCGTTCATCACAAATCCACTGACCTGAATTCCAAAACAGTAAGTTTGAGGTACTTGTGGAAGATCATTAAGCAAAAAACAACTTCCAAAATGTAATAACTTCATATATAATGCACATGTTACAAACTTACACTTACTCATACAAGGTTCCCATTCTGTTTGGAAGTATTTCACAAATTGTGGCTTGGAGAGCTGAAAATTTTTGTAAAATAACAGAAGCTTTATCGCAGCAGATCTTTCCACATCAAATTCTTCTCCATCAGCAATTAATGTGCTTCCAAAGCACAGGTCTTCTAAAGCAGCATTCATAATAGCTCTCTTTTCATGACCACTCACAACCTCAATCAATTTCTTTGTCCATGCTTTTCAAACATGATATATGCAAAGAAATACAGGGATATGTGGAAAAACAATGTCTATGGCAAGTCTCTCATTGTCAGCACAATCCGTCATGAAGCACTAGGGCATCCATCAAGGGATATAATGTTGGGCCATCTTCTTCACTGCAGATAATAAATCCACCAGATCTTCTGTTTCTTCTCTTTCGAGGAATCCTAAATTAGTAGGATGTCTGTGTTCATATTTGTCAAACACCATCAGGGTGTACTGTGGATACTGCATTGCAAAAAATGAAATAAACGTATCAGTTTGCTGCTAGCAATCGTCTACAAAGTATTCATCTTCATTGATACTAAGCTAAACTTGATACAAATGAATGATTCGCTATTTATATGTCTTGATAAGTTAGACGTGATCAAGGTATATAAAACAACATATACAGCACACATTGAGACGTTCAATAATGTCTTACAAGACTGGTTAAAGCTCCAAACCGTCATTTTTTCAAGTATCTTGTAGAGATTGCAAATAGTAAGGTAGAATATACATAATCATGGAAGCCTGATGATAAAAACATCAAAATGGACAAGTAGAATATTACCTTATACTTCTGCGTGCCATGCGTTCCATCTATAGCAACACAACCTCCATTTCCATGTTTTAGCAACCAATCAAGGAGCAAGGGTCTTGTAACAGCAAGCCTCAATGGTTTAAATGGATCACTTTTTGGTGCCTGATACAAAACAACTTGAGATGAATTCGCTTTCATCCATAATTCTGTGCTAATTCTATCATTAGCATGACTTCTCCAAGTTTCTTTGTCTAGTTTTAATTTGATATTATACACATCAGCAGATGTGATATAATGATCTCTAATAGAGGTCCCTTGCACATAGCCTAAGCGCTGATGATTTTCAAACAGTGCTTTTGCAACACGCATGAGAATTTGTGGAGGAGTTAAACCTCTTCTTAACTCGCATTCAACCCACTCCCTGGAAAAAGAACGTAGATAATATTAGACAACGTGCTTGCTTAGTGTCAAATTTTTACAAACTGTAATAACAACAAACTTATTGTACATATTACAAATATGACGAGAGATTGACTATGAACGATAAACAAATACATTGAAAATGTAACAAATATGTTGTTACCTGCATTCAGAGTATAAATTGTGCGCCATTTGAGATGGCAAGCCAACACTATCCGAACACGCTGTGCCATGTTAAGCTACACCTGCAGCATTAACGTGTTTTCTATGCTTGTATATCAACTTCGTGATTCCTGGTGGAATGTGATCATTAGACAGTAGTTTAGTGGCACTAAACCTGCATTGACAGCCTTTGTGATGCAAATCATGATCTAGTCTATCTCTGCTGCCAGGACGGAATTTTGCCTTTGTTGATGGATCTTGAATAAAATTTGAGGAAAGCATACTCTTCTTGCCCCATCTGGAGTACCATACTTGCAATAATACATTGCATACGATTCCCAATTGTGCATAGTACCTCCACCCTTGTATGAGCTACGTGTCACAAATTTTGTCTTCGCATCACTATAACAAGATTCCTCTCCCGAAACAAAATCGTTAAGCCTCGAGCTTTTGATGTAGGCCGTCCCATTTGACCAATTCAACATTAACGAATTGAAAGGGCCATCATAAGGTGGGTCCTACACAATTCATCCTGCTTCCATGCTGTTACCACACCTGCAAAAAGCACCTGAAATGACAAAAAAAGTACAAGCACGGGCTCTGGCACGAGCTCCTCAAAGCAATGACACTGGCACCCAAAGCGACGTCGAAACGATGAGCTGGAGAATATCGATGTGATACTATTCTCAAAAACCCTAATCTTTTCCGCTTAAAATTTCGTCGCCTCAATATGTTATCACCGTTTGATTACAAATATTACAGTTTGAACACAAGGGATTCCATCTGAGCTCTGCCTATTGCGGTTCAGTTTTAGTTTTTAGTTCCCGCAACGTTCTAGTACACGACCGCGATCATTGTTACGGCGTAGATCATTGCAACGCAATAGATACAACGTTGCAGCCTCTACAGTGACGGCCTCTCTTCTACATGGTTGTTGGAATTTCATCTGGTTGAGTGCCTCTACATGGTTGCCGGAATGTAGGGTCCGCCGACCCTCCCCGCAAAGTGCCCCGCCTCCCCGTTCCCAAAACTGAGATAAAATCCGGCAGACTCGGGGCAGTCCGAAGGGAGCCTGAAGAAAGAAAGAAAGAGGAGAAAGAAACTGGGATCCCTGATACTTGGCAGTACAGCCGTTTGTAAAAGTTTGTGCAACTAAGCGAGTCGTAGACGCTCCCTTTACAGTTTCGCCGTTTACGGTTGTCTAATACAACCATGTCTGTCAATGGAGAATGATTATGCCACACACTCTTGAGTTTTAGCCATCCACAAGTCTTGGGAATGTCATTCTACCTTGCACATAACTCTTTTGCAGTTTTAGCTCTAGTTGTCATTAAAATTTGAAATTTTTTTGCGGACTCTTGTTTGAAGAATTCCAATGTTTCTCGGGAGCTTTCTTCAATTCCAGCAAGGCTATATAACTTGAACTGAGCACCTTCACTTGAACTGATAGAGTTGACCGCATGTTGGTATCTTGTCTTTGCAATGGAAGCGCAAGAGTGAAACACAAGAACTCAAATGTGAAAACATCCATCTGCATTCGTCTTTTGAACTTCCTCGCATTGAATGAGCTGAGCAAATTTTGATCAAAGAACCTGAATTGTCCCACCCTTCTATCATGGGTCCATAAACGTCAAGACCTAGTCACAGTCCCAGCATGAATCTCTGCATCATAATAAATATACAACATGTTTGTTGCCAATGCCACATCAATTTGATATCTTCATCTGTATCAAAACATTCTATCGTGCAAAACATTGTGAACTACAATAAAAAAAAAGGAAAATGAGATTGTGTACATCATTGTCCATTTTCGTAGCTTATTGGCTGAAAGTGTAGATTGCAAACTTTGATGAAAAAGAACATGAAATTGAGGTTTTGGAGTTTAGGGTGCGAGATTCTCTGTGTAGAAAGAGAAAGTGCACTAAAGTTTAGGGTGGAGTGTCTTTGTGTAAAAAGAGTAAGAGCACTGAAGTTTAAGGTGAGAGAATCTCTTTGTAGAAAGAGAATGTGCAGGGAGAGTATCTCTTTGTCTCAAGAGACTAGATATATGTTTGAAGCTCCTTTTCATTCCGAAGGCACTACCGGCAATGTGGTAGAGGTTACAGGATTATCTCTAGCTGGCCGATTGAGGCCTACGAAAACCAAACTAAACCCTAGCCAGGAGCTTAGTGCCGGCTGACGATCATGTGGCAGCAGCCTAATTTGACTACATTTTAGTTGAATACCTGTACTTAAATTTACCCATCTACCATTATAATGAGTAACATCTAAAGTGTTACTAAACTTGTGTTTGTGACAATTTTTAACTGCTAAGTATTAAGTGCTACGGACTCTTGTTTTTAATCCAATAATGTATTTGTATCTAGTGATTGCTTCCAATTTCTTGTTGAATCATAATAATATTGTTCAAATTATTTCTTCCAGATATTAAACACCAAAAGGGCCAAATAGATAACATAAAGATGACAAAATCTTGGAAAATGAACAAATCAAGTTGGGTCTAGTTCACAATAGTCTAGTTAAAAAAAAAATTTAAAAATTTTTAGTACAAACTATGCTCTTCATTTGGCTTTGTTGACCTGGCGCTGTCCAATACTTTTTTTCACTTAATATAATTATGCCATACAAATTGTTTTGCACAAGAGTAAGGATACAACTTTGATACCTATAGACTTATTACTCATAGTGCACCTGGCTTCCCGAAGTGGGTTCTCGCTGGGTGATAACTACATCTCACGTTACTTTTGATAGTTTTTAGGAAATGTGTTTGAAACTTTATACTGTCCAATGATTTTTTTAATCAATACTAATATGCCATACAGATTATTTTGCACAAGAGTAAGGTACAACTCTGATACCTATTGACTTATTAATCATAGTGCACCTGGCTTCCCGAAGTGGGTTCTCGCTGGGTGATAACTACATCTGACGTGACATAGAAAGATGAAAAGATGAGAAAATCAATGGCACGAGACAAGAATCTTCATGGACGCAATCCATGACAAATGCTGAAGATTCGTCCACAGACTGTGCTGTGGGATGATTCCACATGGCGACAGGAGGAACCTCGAAGCTTATCTGCGTGGCTGGTCACGCTGCTGGTTGGTTCGTTCTGTGGGTTGCTGCCATGAGCTTGCACTGCTTCTGTCGACTGCGTTTGCGGTTGAGCGAAAGGCTGAATGATGTTAGAGAGGCGCTTTTCCTCTCCATCGGCGTAGGAAGAGGGTAGCAGTGGTTGCGTCCCTCGTTGTGGTAGGTGACGCCATTTTCGTCGTTGATCGTCAGTTTGGTCTGCAGCCTCACGATCGATCCATGGTCGTTGACTGGGACTATGATTGTTAGATGATTTTGGAAAGGATTGTGAATGTCATCGTTTTTTGAGTGTGTATTTTCCGTGCGACGTATCTGGTTGGTTGATTGAAGCTTCGATGATAGTCCTGCTGATCGCAGCGCGTGGAGAGTGAGACTTCTTCCTGAAATCATCGCGCTTCAGGCTACTTCAGAGGAGCGAGGTGGTCTGAGTGCAGGTGAGAAATTTAATTTCATTCTCACAGGAACACGTTTCCATCGAATTCGTTCATTTGAAGAATGCGATCTTTGCAATGTAGGGCCGATCACATTGCTGCTCTTACAGGAGATTTCGTTCAATGGAAAATCCACAATCAATGAAAGTCATATGTCGAGGTTGTACCGAATGGGTCTCGGGAACATCTAAAGCGCTCTCTATCTCAGACATTGAATCAGTAAGCTCTATGCAATGTGGAAAGAGGAGAATGTAGGTACGAAGACTAGATTGGAAGTGACAGGATTTGTTTTAGCAGAATTCACTCGCGATTTCAGATTTGGGATGCTGGGGTTTCGAGGAGTGAATCACATCTGACCATATTAATTTTACTCTTCAGACTATGGAAATCCGGCGTTGAATATCATATCGGGATTTTATCTCCCAATCACGGCTACAGATCTTCCAATTCCAAGGAGTAAACAGTCATGTCTCTCTTGGAATCGTTCAGTGGAACAAGTAATGAATCAAAACCTTGGAGTGGTTTGTTAACTCCAGTGGCAGGGTATTGGGACGAAAAGAAACGCAAGAAATCATCACCCAAGTTTGGTCTCTTCAAAGATGAGAAGCAGTCGAAGATTGTGTGGCCAAATTTTGGCCCAGGTGGTGCTATTGGAATAGGTTGCGGAGCAGGCGTAGGGATTGGAATCACTGGAGGGGCAGGTGTGGGAGCTGTACCTTGGAATGCGCTTAGGATAGTATTAGGGGTGGGATTCGGTTGTGGTGTGGGTTTAGGATATGGTTATGGCCAAGGATATGGTGTGCTATGGGACAGACGGCCAAAGAAAAACAGTGCTCAAAGTAAACGAGTTGTTATCGAAATATAATCCTAACCTGATGTTTCCACTCTCTTTCATTCAAGTCTATGTGCCCCTTATGCGGCTTCAATTTGAGTTCTCATGGCGAATGGTTGTATTAGGCACCTCTGGAATGCAACAACACTACGTCGCAATTCTCACGAATTCACCACCGTTCATCTCTTGGATTCGCACCTTAGTTTTTAGGATATTTGAAAATCTGAGGAGAAAGGAACCTGTTCCTCGGAGAGGGAATACTTTTCTCTACTGGGAGATCGATTTTTACTCCTGGAAAGCCAGTGGTGAGGTCTGGCCTTGGGTTCCTTGCTCACTTGTAAACCTACAACCTCATCTGATAAAAGTCGAATCACAGCGCCTACAGCGTGTGGCCCCATCTGCAGCTCTGGCATGGGTGGTAACCACGTGTTTCTCATCTTCATGTCCAAATTGCCCCAGAGCCCACCTCAAGTCACCGCTTTGTTTTTGTTCCTGCTTCGAAGTTTGATCTTGCTCTCTGTGGACAAAGGTTCCTAATACTTTCAATTTAAAGCCGCAATGTATCTATAATTGCAAACTCTCTTAGGAGCAGAGTCGCAATGACCTGTACCTACAAATTTTGCTTGTTGGCTTGCGCTTGACATTTGTTAACTTTCCCAAACATTATGGTTCGGCGACGCAATATTTCAGATATTTGAGAGAACCTGTTTTGAGTTTCACAGTTCTACAACAGACGGTTTGAAAGTTTGTAGCCTTCATCTTCACCCTTAAATAAAATTAGATAGATGAAGGTTTTATGCCTGCTAATTCTGGTGTTCTCGTGGGCTCTTTTAGTGTTGGTTTATCTCCGGGCCTTCTTCTCACACGACAAAGAGTTCTAGGCTGCTCCCATGTGAGACATCCCAATGTTCTGATCTGGAAGTTTATGGAAGCTCTCAATTCTTTGTGTAAATATCCACAAAATGTCGAAAGCACGGGCAAGGCCCAAGAAGCCGCGAGTTGACCGACGGAGCTTTGGTCAAAATCATTGTTGGATTCATTAGATGTAAGTATAATGCGGTTCCGGTACAGAAGAAATGTTGGTTTTATGTCGTAGATAACGACAGACACAACATGAAAAGCGAGTTTCCAAAGTGAAATATTGGTTGTTGGTTCAATCGAAGAAGGATCGTGATATAAATTATCTCCATCGACGACCGTGAAGTTCATGATGGTCATGGGATACATCACCCAGTGGTCATTGTGGTTATCACTCATTCCACAATGTACGAGTGTCATTTCTAGCTAGGGAACCAATCTCCATCAGTGAATCTGGTCAGGCTGGAATCAGGTAATTTGAAGTAGGAGGTAAGAACAAACCAAGTATTGTCAACTGACAAACTTCACTGATCAATCTATGTCTTCCTTTTGACTCTACAGATCTTCCGAGGTTTGCGAGGCTTCCATTCAGGTTTGCAGACCCCAACAAGTGTTTTTTCTGCAAGCCTATGAATGGAGGGTTCTCCTGGACCTTGTTGTTCAAAGTAGAGTTATAATGTGGTTGGTTCTATCTGATAATGATCATGATAACAGTCATCTCCATCGAGGACCTTGATGAAATCCTAAGCCATGATGAGTTTCGAGTTCTGAAAGATGGAAGTGACATCTTCAGGAGGGAAGATAGCAAATCAAGAAACTGAGTTTCTTTCAGATTGAGTCTATCTCAAGTCTTACTTAACCATATGGTTCCCTAAATCATGGACTTATGCAAGCAAAAGACAATACAGTACTACTATACACAACAAGTCCAGTTGTGACTGGAAGCATCTGTTGTTATCTGTTGTTGAAGATAACAACAGGTGCTTCCAGTCACAACTGGATGCGTTGAATTATCGGGCTCACTGTCAGTATACAACCGAGAGTACGGTTAGCCCTGTCATACAAGCTGGAATAGATTGCTCCAAGCAATTCACCTCCAGTTCCCTTCTTGCAAGTAATAAACAAAGTCAGTAAACTAACTGACTAGTGATCTTCGCATTAGAACTTTCTGATAGACAAATGCTAAGCACAAAGTATCGAGCGTGCTATTCTAGTGACATATTCTCCTCTAGCAGCAGCTAAGTCCTCTTGAAAATTGAAGGGTGAAGAACGACGTATATCGCGGACTAGCAAAAGTCTCTCTTCACAGCACTTACCTGGTATGAGTGATCAAGCCCACAGTAGCTTGAGGTTCTCACTGGATCCCTCATGAACTCAAAATTAATACAGAAAACTACATAAACATGCCCAGCAGGATAAGCTGCAAAGAGTTGTAGATGAAGCTAGAGAGAACTCATGGTGGCCTGCCTTCGTGCCAAGTGTTTCATGGGAGTCAGTCTTGAGACAGACCACCTATTTACACATATCTTGTATTTCCCGCAAGATGAAGAGAGATGAAGACCAGCTTGTCAATCGGAAGCCAGCTCTGTTCAGTAGTAGGACCTCGCACTTGCATGTAGAAAGTCCGACCGACCTGAGGGCGAGATTCATCCCTTGTAGAACAAAGAATAGCTCTCACACATGCAAATGCTGAAATCGTGATAAGTGTTGAGACTGTTACTGACTTAGGGCAAGCTTTTCTTGAAATAGAACAAAGACTCAGCTCCAAACATACAGCTCCAATACGCTTAAACTCACATGTGTAATCTCTTGCAGTTCTGTTGAGTGGTTGGACTGAGAACAACCAACCTACTCTTTACTCACCTACAACATGAGTATCGACAACCTGATCGATTTCCACCTGAGGAGACGGACCCTGATCAATGAACTCCAGGATTCTACGCTGGTAATATGAATGGTAGGCATCCTTGGACTTCAGAAAGTTGAACTTGGGATTTCTCTTCTCGTTAGAGAGAATCTTCTGCTCAAACTCGAGCCCATTTTGGGCGACGAATTGAGCAGTCTTGTCCACAATGCAGCGGATCTCAGCAGGAGGTTCGACATCTGCAGCTGGTCTTGTCGGAGTGGTAATAGCCGCACTGCTCGCCACAGCTCTTACCGGGGCTCTCACTGGCGAGTCGGCGCTGTTACCTGACTGCCTGACCACTGGTGTTTTCTTCACTGCTTTGGGAACCAGAGACTGGCGCCTCGGCACCGCCTGAGACTGTTTCAGCTCTATTGGAGCGAGAGACTCGCGCCGCGGCATGACTGATCGCAAGTCCGAGTTGCTCTGTTTCACGTAAACACAATCATTAGCCTCTCGCGATGAAATTGCCATTCTCATGTTTTGAGGCAAAAGGACAAGTGGGAAACCTCATGAAGAGCATATAACTGCGGACCACTTTTGACATCGCATCAATCAAGCACCGGAAGCTAAACGATTTACCTCTACACGGGAGAAAGCCAATGCAGGCAAAATGCTTGGCGACAAAGCTGCTCTTCGACGGATGAGAAATAGTAAAAGAACTGACATGAAGCACGCGGTTTCATCCATTCTCTAGATATAGACCCATACGTAGCACAGAAGATCCGTACAGCATTTGCTCTTGCTCCACTACAACGGCAGGAAAGCAGGTGAGCCGTGCCTACTCCCACGTAACCAACATAATTACACATTATGACAATGAATGGCACCAGACTAAACAGGTTCGCATGATCAGAGCACTCTCGAAGGATTATTCTGCGTCACCAATCATCGTCAAATTGTTTGAACGAGGAACCATCGTGTGTGACGATAGGAAACGTTCGAACGCAGACGACATGCATAAACTTCGCTCGACCAACGTGATCCAAATTCAAATTCGCCAGCGCCTGCGCTCTTCGCGTCTAATATTAGACACAGCCCATGGCGCCGAGAATGCAGCGAGACGCTGGTCAGCTCTCAGAGCCCGGTACTTGACGGACGCACGATGGACACTCGACCAAACCCTCTCACGTCTATACAACGACGTGATGCGGGAGATGACGATTGTGTACAGGAGAATAGTTATTCCGATTGTCAGTCTCGGCACAATTTTCTGTCGAAGGAAGCAACACCCGATGACAGAAGTTCCTCTAAGCTGCTGAGTATCGCGTGAGCAGAACGACACACAGGCCTAAAATCAAGCGTTCAATCCCCTCGCAGGAAAGCAACTCAGCTTCTCACGAAAGATTTCGTTCCGACGGACGCTGCAAACTCATACCGAAGGTCTGAAAAGGGTCGTACACAACCCAAAGCTAGAGACTTCCTCAAAAATCGTCTCTGAGATCGTTAAACGTGACTCGAAAACCCGCAATTCAATTCCCTACAAGACACATCAATTTCCACCGAAAAGCGACGATAAATCAAAGCAAAGAAAACCCAACCACGCGGTCAGTCCGTCGCGAGCAGCAGCAAATCATCGAGTGCCGAGCACGACCAGCACTGGAGTTTGAAAAGGCGAAAGATTCTCTCACCCGTTCAGCTTTCGAATTGCACTTGCCGTTGATTCCCGACGCTCTGTCTGTTTCGAGCGAGCGCGCGTTGCGAGTTCGGCCCCAGCTTTTCCCTTTCCGTTCGAGTCGTGTCCCTACAAAATCGCGGCTGGTCGGGCCCGCCTCCAGCCGCTGCTGCTGTTGCTGCTGCTCTTACGACTCCTCGGCGCAGACCGTCCAACGGAGCGCAACGTTTTCTTCGTCTCTTGTCTTTGTAGGAGAGTGTGCTCGTCAGCACTCTTTCAGTGCAGGGGCCATCGGCACCCGGATGACCGGTTCGCACCCGACCCGGATGTGGACTCCTGTGGTCTCTCAGCAGAGCATTTGACTCTCACCCATGGACTGTCTTCGCGTTATGAGTACAGCAGCTCGATGCATCCATCGTGGCTTGACCTGTTCAGACATGTGGCTTCCCAAAGCCGACCGGCTGATCAATGCGACAAAAGTCATGTTTACGAATAAAAACTGTATACTGGACTAAATTATAACACTTTGTTTATCGTAATTTTGTGAAAATTGATGTTGTTTATACGTCGTACAAGCTATCATAACTTTATTTTAGCAGTAAAGAATCGTCCTAAACTTCTCAATGCCCTATCGATATTTTACCACATCCTTGAGGAGCATCCGATAATACTATCGCGTGGTCCTCAAGCAAAATCGATGGGAGATCCCATGTAGACGAATTTAAAGTAACCAACAATATATTACATTAGGCCAGCTCCAAGAAACCACTACATCTATGTCATTAGTCAAACAAAGTCTAGGTCATTAGTTTATAAACAAGAACATCCTAAGAAGGATCACCTATTAAAATTGTGATCACATGGATATATCTCAGATGTATCCATGTGAAACCAATAAAGCACTTTCTTGATAGCTCATGAAACCTAATATGTATATGTTGCATATGATAGTTTATATCATAAACTGAAATTAATTACAAAAATTTTAACTAACTTGATCAGCTCTTGTTCTTTTATTCTCAGATGTGTAAGGTTGATATTCAAATCTCCACAAAAACTAAAGTTTAGAGTAACAATCTATCTTACGTCTCCAAACTGAAAGATCTTGATTTTCGAGGCTCCACTTATTCACTATGAAAAAACGTGTATAATCATTGGAAGTCTAGAATAACACAGAGTTACATTAATTGCATAATTTTATACCTAGAGACCTTGGTTGCTACAGATCCACTTGATCTTGGTGTAAGCATACTTTGAAAATAACTCTGATAATCATCCTCACAAATTTGAATTTTTAGTCACCATGTCTGCAATAGAATTATCAAACTCTTCAATCAAAGATACGTATGTTCTAACTTAGTCAAATGCAAAGCATACCAACTATTTCTCCATGTGAATGATATACAATTATATGGAAAAATATGCGAGTGTTTTTTATGGGAATGAGATATACATTCTTACTCACCGCCATCTCTTATGGATCATAAGTAATTCTTAAATTGTCAAGAGATAACTATTGATTTTTTAATACCCTGTGGATTCAGAAAAGAATAAAAGTCAAATAGACAATAACTACATGCAAAGGTAATACTACACTCACATGTTACTAATGAGTATGTAAATAAAGCATTAAGATTTATGGACCTTGTTAATTTTCCAACTTATATGAATTATGATTTCATCCTGCAAGGTGAAGACAAAGTTCGAGCATGCATTCTTTCCATTTCAAGAACAACCATATGCTAGTATCAAAAAAGGTGTTTACAATCATGTAATTCATGTATAATATGCTAAAATGGTAAGCCCATGAACAGAGAAGATACATTAATCTGACGGCAAAGATATGAAGCAAGTATATGTCAAAACTGTAAAGACAAAGTTCAAACTAAAACATTACATCTAACAATGTGTTTCAATATCATATGAGAACCTAATTTTCAAATAATGTGTTTAAAATATATTACAAAATACAAAAATTTAAAATTTTACACAATTTTATTCATTAAGACACATAAGACCAAAACTGTATGTACTGTAATGTTCATAAACTTAAATTGTCATTTTTTACATGATCAAGAATGTTAGATATCAGAAACCTAATGAAAAATTTGTAAATTGAAAATTCAAAAATTATTATTTCACCCATAAAAAATGAGATATTAATAATTGTAATAAAAAATTAACATGAAATTTAAAATTTAATATTTTGTAATATAGAAACAAAACTTCAAAGAATCAACGTACAGATAAAAATAATAATTTGTGATTCACATACTGATTATCTATAGCATGTGAAAAATTTTCAGCAATGGATTTATGTATGTATGTATATAAATACATTTACTCACATTATAAGAAAAAAGTCTAGAGATTAAAGTTAAATGGTTATTTGATGACTAAAAATATTTTGAATCAAAAAATGAGTCAAAATAATTATAATTAAAAAATAGTTGTGTGATTAAACACAATAAAAAATTCAAATATAAAAATATAAATTTTTTATTTTTAACAATATCAAATTTATATATATAGAAATACAAGTTTTCATTTGTTTAACTATAATTGAAATTTTGGCTGTGTAGACTTTGCAATAAATATATAATTAACAAGATATTTTCAATTGCATTGACACAATATTTTATGATAATTGCACATTTAATTTGTATGTAAAAAATTGATATGCTTATATTCAAAGGAAAACTAACAATCAATGATAAATATTTTTTCAAAACAAGAAAACTATCTGACAAGATTAATATTTTGGAACAATGCTTCTGCTAACGCTTTTTTAGTTTTAAGCATAGTATATTTTAACAAAAAAAGTTAACCTCATGGATATTATATGTTTATTTGACACACAAAATTTCACTATCAGTGACAATCTTAAAAATATTTATGAAAATTACAAATCATTATAATTCATTAATGAATGTATGAAAAATATACAAACAATTACATTTGTATAAATTTATAGTTTAAAGAAGTTTTTAAATATAAATTTTTTTCAATTTAGGTTTTTTCTCATAACTTGCTATAAAATTTGAAACATTTTCGGTTGTAATAATTATAAGATTTTAAAATTTCATAATGAAAATATGAAGATAATTGAATTATAAAATTTTTATGATAAGATATCATACTATATATAATTTATTTTTATTTTTATTTAATAATTTAAATTTGTTTGAAGTGTTTTTACATTAAATTATCCATTCATGAAATATTTGTTCAAAAAAATCTGACATTCAGTAATTTCTTATGTGTTTTCACTCAATCAAATGTAATCATGTATATCTATTTGAATTAATGAAATATATAATTATTGATAGTATTATATTTAAAATCAAATATAATGTAGCATCAAAGTATAATAATAATAATAGATTGAATTTTAATAAGTTAAGAATACTGATTCCATTTGAAAATTTCAGCTTAATTTTTCAAGTATTTCAAAAAAATTTAGTTCATGTGTGTGTCAATTTGAATATCTGAAATAATTTGATTATGATTTATCATGTAATTCATATTTATAAGAGTTAAAGTATAATCTAAACGTTTGTGTTTGTATATAAGCATATTTTTTTATTTTCTGTATATATATATATAATTTATATAGTTTAAGTATTTTGGAGTTTATCATCAATGTTGACTTGTTTGAAAACATAACATAGAATTAATACTTTAAGGTGATAAGTTATGTGCATATTTAAAGAGAGTTTAATTTTCAATAGTAAAACATTGATTTTATTTTTTTCGGGAGTATATCAAAATTTCAGTTTGCATAGAATAAATTGATGATACATAAAATTTCAGAAAATTATGCATTGATAGAAACAATAAGAATCATTTGTCTCATTTACTTGCACATTTTTAGATATATTTGAAAATAATCATTTTCTTTTGTTGATCAAAATAAATATGTTCATATGTTGAAAATTATGCATATGTTTCAACTTTTTAGGAAAATGATTCATAAGCCATAAATAATAAATTATAATGGATTGTATGAACATATAAATATATTTCAATATATATAAATTTAGATTTATATAACATTATCTAAATTTAGATACGAAAAAAATATGGAAAAAATATTTTCATATTTAAAACTTTGCTAAGAAGACAAACTTTATGATCTACATGATATTAAAACTAAGTGATGATGTAATTTACATGCATTGCATCACTACATACATGGTTGTTTTATCAAAGATTATCATACTAAAACTATGATTTATGAAACATAATTCTCTTAAACTATTTCATTGTGTTTCTCAAAATATCCATTACAATATGACAATTATGAGTATCACATGAAAGATGCTATTAAATCAAGTTAAATTTATTTTACAACTCACAGATTCAAGATTCAAGATATAATTATTTACTATCATAGATTTGATCTCAAAAACCATAGCCAAATCAAGAAAGCAGATCACGCCATGACTACAATGATATAATGAATTGCTGAGTAGTTGCGCATTCAGGTTCAAGAAGTACAATTTGCACTTATACGATCAAGATTTGATTTTTTCATTAATATGATTCAAAATCTATTATCTAAACGTAATTAATCTTAACAATGCACACCAATAGCAGAAATATGAATATATGATCCATCACTAAGGTCTACATGTAGTAAAACAATCCATGCAGTGCTCATAGATAGATCTAATTGCATCATTGAAAGTTTGTATTAACACTTTCCTATAAGGATTGATTAACTAGTTTGACCAATCAAGATTCAGCTTTTCAAAGTTAAATCAAAATCTAAATTATCTCTCAACACTCTAGTACAAATTACAGTGACTATTATGCGTTGATTCTAACTACTATGTTTTTATGAATTTTTATCTACTACGATAATTATTACATAATTTGCAACAACTTGTCATCACATATATATATATTATAACACAATATATAATTATCACATGATAACACATATATTGCAATACATCAACACAAGTGTAATATTTGTAAAATACAATGATCATATTTTTTCAACATTATG